ACGTGTCAAAGGCAAATTTAATGAGAGCCATTTTGAATAATACCAGGCTTACCGCAAAGGTGGAGGATTTAGCAGCTCCGTTTTAGCTCATTCAGCAATATTTCCCTTCTCTTTTTCGGCTTCAGTATCGTGTGGAATGACATGAAATCTGATTTCTAGGAATGAGACCTCTATAATCCTGCTGAGCTAAAAGGAAAGGAAAGGGTATTGATCAGAGGTGGGTTTCAGCAGGTTTTGACCAGTTCTGGAAAACCGGTAGCGGAAATTTTGAGTAGTTCAGAGAACCGGTAGTAAAAATTCTGACTGGCCCCGCCCCCATCTATTCTCTGCCTCCCGAGTCCCAGCTGATCGGGAGGAAATGGGGATTTTGCAGTAACCTTCCCCTGGAGTGGGGTGGGAATGGAGATTTTACAGTATCCTTCCCATGCCACACCCACCAAGCCACGCCCACAGAACCAATAGTAAAAAAAAATTGAAACCCACCACTGGTACTGATCTAGGAATGAGTTTAGTCCAAGGGTTCCTAAATTTTTTGCCATTGCCTCTCCCTTTTGTGATGTCTTAATATGCACACCTATTTTTTACTACCGGTTCTGTGGGTATGGCTTGGAGGGCGTGGCATGGTTTGGTAGGCGTGGCTTGGTGGGCATGGCAGGGGAAGGATACTGTAAAATCTCCATTTCCTCCCGATCAGCTGGGACTCGGGAGGCAGAGAATAGATGGGGGCAGGGCCAGTCAGAATTTTTACTACCAGTTTTCCGAACTACTCAAAATTTCCGCTACCAGTTTTCCAGAACTGGTCAGAACCTGCTGAAACCCACCTCTGGTGCCAGGATTCTTTGAGGCCGAGGTGGTAACGATAATGCTGCATGCAAGTTCTGTCGTCAGTTTTCCATTTCCCTTAAAAGAGCATTTTAAAAAATGAAAATGAGGTTGCTATCTTGATTAGTGCCAAGCAAAATATTTGCAGTGCACATGATCTCCATATATAAAATTTGCCTTGATGCAGATAAATTAGCTGGTGCAATTCTTATCCTGTAGATTTGTATCTTCTGTTTCCTTTTAAGTGAGGTTTATCTGGCAATCCAAACTAAAAAGTCCTTTTTTTTTAATCTACGGCTGATATTCATGGTGGAGCGCAAGGAAATTATTGGGGGGGCGGGATGTGGCATGTTTGAGAATAGCTTAGACTAGAGATTGCAACTTTTCATCTTCCAAGATCCTAAACCAAGGAGAAGCACAGAATATGTCGATCAAATCAAAGAGTATATTTGTCATCTGTTGAGATGGACAACTACCATATTTTTCGGAGTCTAAGACAGACCTTTTTTCCTCAAAAAAGAGGGTGAAAATCTGGGTGCGTCTTATACTCCGAATGTAGCCCCGCCCAGCTTCTCAAACGGAGGTTTCAGGGGCTGAAAAAAGCATCAGAAAAGAAGTTTCAGAAAAGAAGCCTCCAAACAGAGCTTCAGAAAAGATGCCCCCAAAAGAGCTTCAGAGGCTTTTTTTCTGAAGCTGTTTCGGAGGCTTTCAGAGGCAGAAAACAAAGATTTTTCTGAAACAGAGTTTCAAAAGTTTCAGAGGCAGAAAAAAAAGCAAAAAAAAGCAAAGCACAGAGCTCACAACCAAGGAACCTGTTGCTAAAATTCACTTCTGGGAACAGCTGATTGGGGGTATTCCGGGAGGCCGATCCACCTGCCAATCAGTTTTTTTCTTATTTCCTCCCCAAAAACTAAGGTGCGTCTTATACTCCAAAAAATACAGTAACTATACAGGTAGTCCTCAATTTGTGACCATAATGGAACCACTGCCCATTGCAGTGGTACATCACGATGATTGTAAAAACGAATCCCAATCCAATTTTACAGCCTATTTTGCAGCAAACCCATATAAATACATATAAACCCATATAAATCCATATAAATCCATATAAATCCATATAAATAAAGCAAACACATTGTTTGCGATGGGCCAGTTTTGCCGAAAAACACGAAGGGCCGCTTTCCAGCAAAAAATGTCACAAAACATGGTCACATTTTATGATCCATGGTCATAGGATGCTACAAATGGCCATAAATGCCAGCCAGTTTCTGAATACGCAACATGTGGTCACATGACTTAAGCGGCCTGGCCATTAGAAATTTGTAACTGACTTGTAGGTAATCCCTAGAGAAGTCAAATACATTTTTAAAAATTAAAAACAGGGAAACATAGCTGCAAAATCTGTCTTAAAACGGGAGGGCATCAATGCAGTTACACACACACACAAACACACACACACCCCAAAATCAGTGGTGAAATTCAATTTTTTTTACTATTGGTTCTGTGGGCGTGGCTTGGTGGGCGTGGCCTGGCATGGTGGGCATGGCTTGGTGGGTGTGGCAGGGGAAGGATACTGCAAAATTTCCATTCCTACTGCAAAATCCCCATTCCCACCCCACTCCAGGGGAAGGATACTGCAAAATCCCCATTCCCTCCCCACTCCTGGGGGAAGGATATTGCAAAATCTCCATTCCCACCCTACTCTGGGGCCAGCCGGTATTTGCCAGTTCTCTGAACTACTATTTCCGCTACCGGTTCTCCAGAACCTGTCAGAACCTGCTGGATTTCACCCCTACCCAAAATGTTCATGCATCACACTTAAACTCAGTTCATGACTTAACTCATTTTCTGGAATTATTTGATCTGCTAACACAAGACCCAAATCTATATATTTGTGAAAGTGAAAGTTAACCAAGTTAAGGTTAAACAAGCTTAGTGTGTAGCTGGAACGTAGCCCTTAGCTTAGTGACCGACCTGATTAAAGCTTTCTATAATTACACCTATTGAATTAGTGGTTTTTAAAAGCCGCTTATATGCTGTGTTTTCTGTGCCATGTCGGTGAAGAGCTCTAACATAATTTAGCTTAGCTTCATGTCATCCACGACTCCTGGTAGAGCTGAATGTATCAACAGTTTCCTGGGTTTAAAAAAAAAAACATCGTTTTTTCATCCATCTGATTGTGAAGTCACGGCTAATATTTTGACTCTGCTCTGCTGTTACGATTATTATGGTTCATTGCACAGTCAGCCAGATGTTTAGAGTGAATTTGGGATTTTTATCCACTTATTAACCTGGGATAGGTAATTATTGTTGTTTGTTAAAAAAAATTGCTGCAGGATGTCGCAGGATGTCAGTTGTTCCAAGTAAAGCTGCCTTTTGCAATTGACCAATGGCGATTTTGTCAATGCCAGTGGTGTTCAGTTGTTTTCGGATTGCATCCAGGATGCTTATTATATTGGGACTGTTAAGGATATTCTTGGCTCATAACCGATGTTATGGGTTATTGAGCAGAGTACCCCTTGAGTATGCACATGAAAGCGGCTGAGAGTGAATAACCACAGTTAATATACTGACACACTGAGTTGTGGTAGTCTTTTACTTTTTAGAAAAAAGTAAAGCAAAGTCCAATAACAATCCAAGTCATACACAGATAAGGCGATAGTTAAAATATCAATTCAGGGATATTCCAAGTACAAAGTCTTCTTACCAGTTGTTGTCATTACACAATAAAACAGTTCTTCTTGAGTTTCAAACAGGAACAAGTTCAATATTAAAACATTCAATAAATAGTAGAAAGCAACAAGTAGCAATGATCAAACAGCGATTATACAGAGAGAATAGGTAGAGAGTAACAGCAAATAAGCAGATAAAATGGTATAGTGTTGCTAAGCCATGATTCAGGCTTCCCCTTAAGTACATTGGCTACAGAGCTTAGCCAATCAGGATACAGGATGATGCAATACAGTCTTAAAGCAATATAATACCTTTTGACAAACATGTATTGATAGTTTATAGATTGCCTGAACAACTAGTTAGACAATAGCCCAATAAATAGGGACTATCTTTGCTTTCTTTTGCCTTATTATTATTAGAGTTCATCACACAGTCAACCAGATATTTAGATTGGATTTGGCACTTATATCCATTTATCTCAAGTCCTTCCCAAGGACCTGGGATAGGCAGTAGTTGTTTGATGGTGTTAAAAATGCAAGTAGTTCTCGACAACAATTCGGTTAGTCACCATTCAAAGTTACAATGGCACTGAAAAAAGCGACTTATGACAATTTTTCACACTTAAGACCATTGCAGCATCCACACATGGATGCTTGGCAACTGACTCATATTTATGACAGTTGCAGTGGCTTTAAGGTCACGCGGTCACCTTTTGTGACCTTCTTATAAGCCAAGTCAATGGGGAAACCAGATTCACTTAACAACCAGGTTACTAATTTAATAGCTGCAGTGATTCACTTAACAACAGGGGCAAGGAAGGACATAAAACGGGGCAAAATCCACTTAACAAAACTTTCATTTAGCAACAGAAATTTTGGGCTCAATTGTGGTTGTATGTCAAGGGCTGCCTGTATTGTCACAGGATGTAAGCTTTTCCAAGTAAAGCTGCCTTTTGCAATTGACCGATGGTGATTTTTATCAATACCAAAAGTTTTGAAGTGGTGCTCCAGTTGTTCTGGGATTGCACCCAAGGCGCCTATTACTCTTGCTACTATCTTTTTTTGGCCACAGTCATTCTATTTGCAAGTCTTCGTATTTTGTTATCTTTTTCACTATTTTCTCTTCTTATTCTACTGTCTCCAAGCATTGCAATGTCCACTATCCAGACTTTTATATCTTTATTATCGACCATTGATAAGTCTGGGAGTGTTGTGTGGCAGGTGCTTGTCTGTTTCAATTCCAAAGTACCAAGAGCACTTTAGCTTCTTCATTTTATATTACTTTGTCTGCTTCGCAATCCCACCAATTCTTACTTGCAGGCAAACGGCTTTCTATTATTATTATATCGTAAAGTAAGCGTCTGCCACAATTTGTAAAGAGAAAACTGCTCTGGGGCAATCAAGGGTATTGTAAGAAGCAAGCCAGCATCCTTTAAGGAAGGCAGATCTTGGTCCCATTCAGGTTTGCTGTAGATTAAGGAAGACTGGCTCAAATCTAACCTGATTGTCAATGAAACCGTCCTGTTTTGTGCATCAGATGGATGTTTGGTCTCTGCCGCCGTCCTGCACTTCTTTAGCGCTTGTGCTTCGGTGTTATGCCTTGCACTTAATTGCAATGGATGCCTCTCCCTTGAAGAAAGGAGAAAGCCAAGAGATGCTTCAGAAAAGAGCATTTCATGGTTGCTAGGCAACCATTCATGTGCATTTGCAGCTCCCCAGTGAATAACATCTTCATCCCAGGCTAGAAAATTGCTTCCCTTTTACAGGCGTTTCTCTCAGACCTGGATCCCATGGCAGGCAGTCCTGCCACCTTGATCCTAAACCTGTCCTGACCCTCAGTGGTGAAATGTAAAATTTGTTACTACCGGTTCTGTGGGCGTGGCTTGGTGGTGGTGGGGGGTAATGTGACTGAGTGGGCGTGGCCAACTTTTTTTTTTTTACTTTTTAAAAGCATTTTAAAGCATTAAAAAATGCTTTTAAAAGGTAAAGGAAAGGCTTTGACAATCCCAGCTGAGGTGCCTGATCATCAGAGTATCTTTTTTACCTTTTAAAAGCAGGAAGTAACGACACCTGGGCAGGTGGGCGGAGCCTCGCACCACCATCGCTACTGGTTCTCCAAACCACCTGCCACAATTGCTACTGGATCACCTGATCCGGTCTGAACCGGGAGCATTTCACCCCTGCTGACCCTCCATCCAGGCCAAACCTAAACTAGGTGGCGTCACAGAGATGAGTCCACTTTCTGGATCAGTCTGCAACAGAGGAAGACAAGTATTGCATCCAGAGTGAGTCTGCTTCTTCCTAATTTGCCCTTATCCTTTTGCCGATTAAGTAGGTCCATAAATCACTTCCCTTTTCCAAGGTCCTTTTTATAAAAAAAAAAAATGATGATTAGAAGCAAACATTTCTTAGACAAGCCAGAGTGATAGGAAGGTCCTTTCAGAGTCAGGTCTTCAGGCAGAGGATGACATCCAGGTTTTTTTGTCCACCTAATGTTCTGTAGGGATGAAGCCACTGAGTGTCCTTCAAAAGAAAAGCCCCATCTTCATTTTGAGCAATTGATTTAGTGGTGGGACATGTGAGAAGAATGTGGATGATGGACATCCTGTTACAGGGGTGAAATCCAGCAGGTTCTGGAGAACCGGTAGCAGAAACTTTGAGTCATTTGGAGAACCTGTAGCAGAAATTTTGAGCAGTTCGGAGAACCAGCAAATACCACCTCTGGCTGGCCCCAGGAGTGGGGAGGGAATGGGGATTTTGCACTATCCTTCCCCTGGAGTTGGATGGGAATCAGTGGTGGGTTCCTACCAGTTGGCACCGGTTCAGGCGAACTGGTAGTGGTGGTGGCGGGAGGCTCTGCCCACCCGCCCGGAAGATTCTGCACATGCGCAGAAGTGTCATGCATGGGTGCGTGCCACTGCCTGCGCGCGCACGAGCAAACCAGTAGCAAACTAAATTGAAACCCACTACTGGTGGGAATGGAAATTTTGCAATATCCTTCCCCTGCCACGCCCACCAAGCCACGCCCACAGAACCGATAGTAAAAAAAAATTGGATTTCACCACTGTCCTGTTAGCTCTGCCAGGGCTCCTCCATTTGTTTCAAAGTTAAGGAAGTGGAAAGATCAGGAATTCATGTTGTGTTTTTCTCTTCCCCTTCTCATTCCATCTGGTGAAAGATTATCTGTTTTAGAAATTAGTATCCAAGGAGAAAAGAATTTGGGGTCCTGCCTTTTCATGCTATGATCCTCGTGTCAGGGTTCCAAGTAACACCCCCAACGAAATCAAATTCTGAGACTCGAAGTTCCTCAGAGTTCCATTTTATTAGAGATGACATATTGGCACATCTGGGAAAACCCGAATCTGAAAGCTTCCAGGTTTTCCCCACCCAAAGAAAAGTTCAAGTCCCTGCCCAGCACCCACATGTCCATCACATGGTCCAATCAATGCACCATCCCTACTGGAGATGCCTCCCAGTCACATCCCTCCAGGTGCAGGGCAAGATGTCCTTGACTCTTAGAGAAAGGAATGTTATTATGGCTATATATGCATCTCCCCGGCTCCATACAAATCCCCCCTCCCAGTTTTCCACAGCACTAAATGTGGCACGCCTGAAGAACCAATGTAAAGATGGCTTCCAGGCCTGATACCTTGATCCATTCTTCTGTTCCTTCCTGACCGCCTATTCTTCCATTGAATCCTTGGAGAACATCCCATGCGAGACTTTCACACCTGAACAAAGGTGGAAAAAACAAAGATGAGTGAAAATAAGATGTTATAAAGGATACTCATCATGAGGGCTAGCAGATCTGGCCTGCAGAAATCCAGATGTCAACAAAGATGGCATCCAGATGTCAACAAAGATGATGTCTAGATGATGTCTAGATGTCAACAACGATGTTCTGTTTCTCTAGGGGTGCTCTGGATTTTTCTGTTCATCCCAATCTTTGGCCCCACTCTACTTCCAACAGAAATTAACATGCAAAGCTTGTCAGCGCATAACAATTTACTCTCCTTCCTCAATTTGCCTTCCTCTCCAGATGCTTAATCCATTCAGATGCTAAGTAACTTCCATCAGTCCTGCTGTTAAAGCAATGGAGCACATCTCATCTCTGCTTTGCTTTGCCTTTCAATGGGTCCCACTCAGCAGCTCTTAAGCCCCAGCTAGGAAGAAGAGATTCTGGGATCCTGTGGAGGAGGGCAGTCGGGAACCCCTCTTCAAAGTTCGGATCCCAGAGACAATCAACTCTAGATGACTCAGGAAGGTATGACGCCTAGCTCTGAAAAAGGAAATGCATTGCAATCTAAAATCACCCAGACCAATGTAAAATCAGCATGTGCCTAATTAATAAATAGAGGTACAAATTGGGAAATAATTTCTCTTCCTTAAATGGTTTGTCTCCCACAGTGGTAAGGCTACCAAATCCGATCTGTAGAAAAATCAGATGGCCACTAGGGAGCAGCAAAGACCTATGCTTAGGGGCATCTCTTTGATGCCCCCTAGAGCTGTGATGGCGAACCTATGGCATGGGTGCCACAGGTGGCACACGGAGCCATATCAGTGGGCACGCAACCTCAGATCCAGCGTGCATGTGCACACCAGTCAGCTGATTTTCGGGCCTTCTGGGCCCACCGGAAGTAAGGAAACAGGCTGTTTTCGGCCACCGGAGGGCCTTGGGGGGTGGGGAAGGCCTGTTTTTTGTTCTCCCCAGGCTCCAAAGCCTTTCTAGGAAAATGGCCTTCCCCACCTCCTGGAGGCCCTCTGGAGGCCGGAAATGGCCCATTTGCCGACTTCCAGTCCCACTGGAAATTGGCAAATGGGCCATTTCTGGCCTCAGGAGGGCCTCAGGAGGGAAGGCGGTTTTTGCCCTCCCCAGGCTCCTAGAAAGCCTCTGGAGCCTGGGGAGAGCAAAAAACGGGCCTACCGGGCCCATTGTGCCATCACATGCCAAAAGTGGGGGGAGTGCAGGTAGGTCGTGCGTGTATGTGCGAGGGGGGCAGGGCACATAGAATTATGGGTGTGGGCACGTGCGTGTGCGACCTCCCACACTCCCCACTTTTGGCCAAAAGGTTAGCCATCACTGCCCTAGAGGTTATATCCCAGTGGTCCCAGTGGTCTTCCGGGTGCGCTTCAAGGTGTTGGTTATCACCTTTAAAGCGCTCCATGGCATAGGACCTAGTTATCTTTGAGAACGCCTGCTGCTACCGACGGCCTCCCATCGACCTGTGTGCTCCCACAGAGAGGGCCTCCTCGGTATGCCATCAGCCAAACAATGTAGGCTGGTGACCCCCAGGGGGAGGCCCTTCTCTGTGGGGGCACCTACCCTCTGGAATCAGCTGCCTCCAGAGATAAGGAGAATCCAAGACCTCGGTGCCTTCCGCCGTGCCCTTAAAACCTTCTTTTTCCAGCAAGCCGGGCTGGCCTAACATTTTTTAAAATGTTTTTAATTGTTTGTTATTGTTTTTAATCATGGGGCCAAATTTATATATATCTTTTTAATTGTATTTTAATGTTTGTAGTTTATGCTTTTACTTGGCTGTTCACCGCCCTGAGTCCTCAGGGAGAAGGGCGGTATACAAATTTAACAACAAACAAACAAATAAACAAACAAACAAATAAATGAATGAATGAATGAATGAATGAATGAATGAATGAATGAATAAATAAACAAACAAACAAACAAACAAACAAACAAATAAATAAATAAATAAATATGGCTTGGCAGTCCAGAGTACTTCTGCTCAGACGAGGTTGCAGCCTCTTTCTCCATAAATAGAGGGCTGTGGACTGCTAAGGCACACGCACATACCCTACCTATCTCTGGCTCAGCCACATTGGTTTCCAAACTCCACCCAGGGCTTTTCTGTTCCTCCTTTGCCCTCTGACTCACATGTTCATTATTACCTTTAAGAGCCTTGTTGGCAGACCAAGTACAAGAGCCGTTGGCTCTCTGCCACGTTAGGATTTTGGCAAGGAGGCACCACACCAAATAAAGCCTTGGAGAAGGTTTTGGTTTGTTTGTTTGTTTTTTTAATCAACTTCATGTTTAAGCACCATTGATCATTGGAGGAGTAAAATGCGTTTTGGTACAGACATTTTGGAGCATGGCTGTAGACCTGGGCTTGCATGTTTGAAGGACCTACACAGCTGCACATGGAAAGCTAGCAAATCAGGGAAAGGGAAGGGTTTGCTGACTTGTTTTATTTATTTATTTAAAATAAAATTTATTTAAAATTTTATTTTATTTATTATTTATTTTAATAAGCTTTTAATTTTTGTTGTACATTGTTTTTACCATGGCTGTTCACCGCCCTGAGTCCCTCGGGAGAAGGGCAGTATACAAATATAATAAACTAAACTAAACTAAACTAAACTTGCTACCTTTCTACATACATGAAATTTTTGGCTCAACTGGGTAGGGAAGGAACACAGAATTCTTCCCAATTAAACCTCAATCTTTGCTACTTTTCCACAAGTGTCTAGTTGGGTGAGGGGACGGCCTTCCCCTCTTCTAAGTTGTTGTTGCCGTCTTTAATTTCTTGCTCTTCTTAAATAAATAAATAAATAATTTTATTTCTATACCGCCCTTCTCCTGAAGGACTCAGGGCGGTGTACAGCCTATTAAAAACACAAAACGACATCAGTTAAAATAGTTTAAAATTATTAAATAAATTCGGCTAAATTTTAAAACCCCAGAAATTTAAAACCCAATTTAAAATTGTTATGTTGATAGCCCAGCCTGGCGGAACAACAGGGTCTTGAGTGCGCAACGAAATACCCGGAGGTCGGAGATCTTACGTATTTCCGTATTCCGTATGGTGTGTTCTTGTCGAGTGATTGTGTTGTTTAGTTTTTATGGGGTCTGTTCAACGCTGCCTTTTGCTCCATGGGTTGCCAAGAGCTGTTTCTGATTGCCGTGGCATACAGATCTGTTTGATACATAAATAAATGCATTGAAACTTAAAAACAGGCAGAGTCCAGCAAGATGATCTACTGCCTGCATATGCCTGAGATACTGCATACTTCTCTCAAATGGAGTTGATAAAACCACCCTTAATTATGTACACATATTGGTATGGGCATTTTAATGGTGGATCCGGATGTAACTGTAGTAAACTCTTTTCGTTGGGGTAAGCCTTGATTGTTTTTTGCAATCCAAGGATGGAAATGCTAAATTTGTAAAAATCTGTCCAAGGACTCATGGAATAGCTGATGGTAAGAGTTGATTTCCCTTTCATCAGGCACCCTAGGTCGGTGTGTGTGTGTGTGTGTGTGTGTGTGTGTGTGTGTGTGTGTATCCAGGGGTGGGTTCTACTTACCTTTACTACTGGTTTGCAACAGGGCCACGCGCGCACATGCGCAGAAACTTCTACGCACGTGCAGAAGCAGTGGTGAAATCCAACTTTTTTTACTATCGGTTCTGTGGGCGTGGCTTGGTGGGCGCGGTGGGGCTTGGTGGGCGTGGCTTGGTGGCAGGGGAAGGATACTGCAAAATCTCCATTCCCTCCCCATTCCTGGGGGAAGGATATTGCAAAATCTCCATTCCCACCTCACTCTGGGGCCAGCCAGAGGTGGCATTTGCCGGTTCTCTGAACTGCTCAAAATTTCCGCTACCGGTTCTCCAGAACCTGTCAGAACCTGCTGGATTTTACCCCTATGCAGAAGCGTCCTGATTCGGGGTCGGTGGGCGGAGCCTCCTGCCGGTTTTATTACCAGTTCTTGCAAACCGGTCCAAAGCGGGGGCAACCCACCACTTTGTGCATCCCATAATGGAGGGGAACATCTTTCCTTCCAGAAGTAACAGAGGAACACAACATGACCATTATCTCCATCACACCCTTGTGTCAATATGGAACATAGTCTGTTTTTCAAGATGAAATGTTAGATACCAGCTTGTCCAGATTCATCGCCTTCCTGTCCCTTAAAACCAAATCAATAATAGCTTCACTCCAATGGGCCCTCTGCAGAGTTAGCGCATCCCCACGTTCAGGGGTTATTGTAACAGAATAACAAGAGTTGGAAGGAACCTTAGAGGTCTTCTAGTCCAACCTCCTGGTTGGTAGACAGGAAACCCTATACCCGTGATGGCAAATCTATAGCACGCGTGCCAGAGGTGGCATGCAGAGCCTTCTCTATGGGCACGAGCGCTGCTGCCAGCTTTTCTTCTGGTTTCCGGCCAGCTGGTCTTCACAGGATGCCGGAACGCCAGAAAACAACCTGAAAACAGTCCAAAAAATGGCCAAAAATAGCCAAAAACCTGGCTGTTTTGTGGGATGTTTTCAGGTCATTTTTTGGGCCGTTTTCAGGCCATTTTTCAGGCTGTTTTGGGCATGAAAAACAACCTGAAAACGGCCTGAAAAACAGCCAAAAAACAGGGATGCATGTGCCGGCCAGCTAGTCTTTGGGTTTCCAGTGCTCCAACATGCGCACATGCAGGCACATACACACGCATTCCGGTTTGGGCACTTGGTGCTGAAAAGTTTCGCCATCACTGCCCTGTACCATTTCTGATGGTCATCCAATCTCTTCTTTAAAAAAATCTCCGATGTTGGAGCACCCACAACATCTATTTGGACCGAGATGCCCTATGCACAGTTACTCATGCGCTAGTCACCTCCCGTATTGACTACTGCAATGCTCTCTACTTGGGGCTGCCCTTGAAGACCACTCAGAGGCTTCAGCTGGTGCAGAATGCGGCCGCGCGGGTTGTGATGGGAGGGTCCCGATACTCCCATGTTACACTTCTCCTGTGGGACTTGCATTGGCTGCCGGTTGCCCTCCGGGTGAGATTCAAGGTGCTGGTGATGACCTATAAAGCCCTACATGGCTTAGGACCAGGATATTTGGCGGACCACCTGCAGCCAGCAACCGCTTCCCATCGCCCGGTTTGTGCCCATAGGGAGGGTCTGCTCAGAGTGCCGTCGGCTAGACAATGTCGGCTGGCGACCCCCAGGAATAGAGCCTTCTCTGTGGGCGCGCCCACCCTCTGGAATGAACTCCCCTTGGGGCTCCGGTTGACCCCTGACCTTCGCACCTTCCGCCGCAAACTAAAAACATGGCTGTTTAAATCGCCCAGCCTGGATTGATGGGGTTTGATTATTTTAATGTGTTTTAACATACGTTTAATTTGTATTTTAATATGTTTTTATCTGGTTCGATTTTAATTGTTGTGAGCCGCCCTGAGTCCTATGGAGATAGGGCGGCATACAAATCAAATAAAATAAATAAATAAATCTGGAGGTAAGTCGTAGTAGTACGCTTGGAACATATGTAAAAGGAGTAGGGTTTTAATTACATGGTTGAGGGATGTTGATTTATAACATCTGGTCAGAGAGACAGCATGGCCAATTTGCCTGGGTCTGGCATTTGCCA